ACCTTGTAACCCTAACGAGTCACATGACATCGGGGAGGGAAAATGGCTAATTGGGCCCAGTTTGGACATTTTCACTTAGGGGTGGACTCACTTTTGTTGCCATCGGTTCAGACATTAATGGCTGTGTGTTGAATTATTTGGAGGAGACAGCAAATTTACATGTTATACAAGCTGTACACTCACTACATCACATTGTAGCAAAGCGTCATTTCTTCAGTGTTGTCACATTAAAAGATATAATAAAATATTTACAAAAATGTGAGGGGTGTTCTCACTTCTGGGAGATCATGTAGTCTACACCATCTGACCTACCATCTCACTGTCAACAACCTTCTTGACCCCCCTACAATCTGGGTTTCACACTCCACAGAAACCACCTTCCTAAAACTCACTAATGACTATCTGTTAAAAACCATTATCACTTACTCCATACTCATACTACCAGACCTTTCTGCTGCCTATGATACTGTTGACCAACCGTTCCTCCTCAAAAAACTCCACTCCCTTGGTCTCCGAGGCCACCCACATTCATCTGTCAACTCCTCCGCTCACGTCTTCAGTCTCCTCATATATCACCAATTTACAAACTGACATGTCAGTGTGGATGTCACATCTTCAATTTTTTTTCCAAAACTGAGCTAATAATATTTACCATCCAGATCAATTGTCTGCATCCAGATCAATAGTCCAACTATAAGTCCCTATCTTCATGCCAGAATTCTAGCTAAAATCTAGGGATCTGACTTCTCCTTTTGGCCCCATTTGCAATCCTTTGCCAAATCTTGTTGCCTTAACCTCTGAAATATTTCCCCTGCTCCCCCTCCTTCCTGACAACAGTGGCTCTGAGCCAATCAAGGGGGAAGGAGAACTTTCTATGCAGACTCCATGGACACTGGGATATGTAGTCCTTAAAGAAGCACTGCACAATACAAGTGCATGGAGGCTAATAGACTGCAGACTTTGCTACCCAGAAATCCCTGCTGTCAAAAGGAGTAGAAACAAAAGTTTTCCTGGCCATTTTTGGAGAGATCTTGGTCTTTTGCAAGAGGAAGCCAAGCTGTAAAGACTTGTGACCTTTGCTGGGGCTGTGCAGAGACCAGGAGCTATGGGAGTCTTTGCCAGTGGGAACTGAATAAGTACACAACTACCACTGGGGTGTCTGTGCCCACACCAGAGAACAAAGGACCAAAGACACAGAGTTTTCCTGCCGTGCTGGGATCCAAAGCTGGAGAGACCCTTTCCTATGTGTGCCTAGAGTTGGGGAGAGCCATTGCGATCCTGATTGGGAGGACTTGATTGTAAAGACCTGACTATGAGGACTGAGACTTTTGGGACAAATGACTGCAAAGCATATGAGACCAGCCAGGTTGCCTTCCAGGAGTGGTGAGAAGAACTACAAAGCTTAATCCCTTGCTGCACATAATCATCACAATAGAGACTGTTCTTTACTTAGCAGCCCATCAGCAATCAATTGCACACTCTTAAAAGGGACAGCTTCATGTGCACCACCTTACAGAAGAGCCCCAATGAAAGCGCAACGCTCATACTGACAAGCAGGTGTCAGGTAATTTTAATCAGAATTAAGAATAAAGAGCAAATGTGAAATTCTGCGAGAAACTGGGAAAAATCGCTGGTTCTCCGCAATGTTGTCAAAAGGGCGACCTTTGAGCTGGAACTTCATCTTCAGGAAGAGGGCATTTTCAGGGGTTGAGCACCTTGAAGGTCCTCCTGATCTCTCATCTTCCAGTGATGTTCTTCCACTCTTAAAGCGCACATGCCACTCAAAGTACCTCAAACGACTCATTGCATCATCGCCATAAACTTGCCGAATCAGGTCAAATGTCTCTGTGGCAGATTTGCCCAGTTTCAGGAAGATTTTCAGGTTTGCTCTTTATTCTAACTTGCTGTCCATGATGACATAGCAGACGTGGTAGTGAACGTGGTCAGAATAGTTGTACAGCTACCCATGCACACAGAACAGTGTCTTTTGCCTCACTGACTTAAGGTCTGACTGAAGGTTGGTGCTCCTTGTGACTGTGCGTGCAGCCTTGTGCTGCCCTATGTTGGCGTGTTACAAAACTAGTTTTGAAACGTTAGGATACCACCTTGTTTCAGGATGAATTTCACTTTTGCTCTTTGTTCTATCTTGCTGTCCATGATGACATAGCAGACATGGTAGTGAAGGTAGTCAGAATATCACCAGTTGTACAGCTCCCAATGTACACAGGATGATGTCTTTTGCCACACTGACTTAAGGTCAGCGCTCCCTGTGACTGTGCAAGCAGCCGTGTGCTGCCCACTGTTGGCGTGTTACAAAACAAGTCTTGAAACTTTAGGATACCAACTCATTTCAGGAAGAATTTCACATTTGCTCTTTCTTCTAACTTGCTGTCCATGATGACATAGCAGACGTGGCAGGGAATGTGGTCAGAATAGTTGCACAGCTCCCGTTGTACACAGGACAGTATCTTTTGCCACACTGACTTAAGGTCGGTACTCCCTGTGACTGTGCGTGCAGTCTTGTGCTGCCCTCTGCTGGTGTGTTACAAAACTAGTCTTGAAACTTTAGGATACCACCTCGTTTCAGGAAGAATTTCACGTTTGCTCTTTCTTCTAACTTGCTGTCCATGATGACATAGCAGACATGGTAGTGAACGTGGTCAGAATAGCACCAGTTGCACAGCTCCCAATGTACACAGGACAATGTCTTTTTGCCACACTGACTTAAAGTCGGCGCTCCCCGTGACTGTGTGTGCAGGCTTGTGCTGCCGTCTCTAAACTTTTGGATACCAGCTCGTAAATGTGGCGTGATGCCTGAGGCTGGTAGGAGGGGCAAAAGCTCATGCGACAGTGATTGGCTGCACAGTGCTGATGTCATCAGTTCTCTACCGTCGGGTGTTTACCATGAGCTGTCCTTGACAGCTCCGTCATGGTTCTGAGGTTGCCAATGGAGCACGCCCCATAACAAGTCAGTGATATATATGCAGCAGCTGGGCGTTAAGGCCTACCCACCCTACCACCACATATATGCGTATAGCTGTCGGAAATTGGTTAACCTGAAAACAATTAAAAAAAAAAAAAAAGGAATTTAGTGTTTAAATTACGGATTGTTCATATGTGCAGCAGGGAAAGTGATCGCTTTTCAGAGGTGTATGGCAGGTGGTGAGTTGTATCGGCTCCTCAGTGCCCGCTTGGACCCCACACTATCACGCCTCAATTGTGTACTGTCATGTGGTTGTGGGGAGCTTGCAGATCAACCCCATTCACTTGAATGGGGAAGCGAAAAGGGGGGTATAATTAATGCCATAACATGCATACACCCCAGGTCGCTACCTCTGCAGCTAAATGGGGGATGGTAAAACCACAGGGTTTTACACTGTGAACAAGCCCTTTAATCTTCCCGAAGTTAGCTTTAAGCCCTATGGATCATGATGGAAGCCAGGCACCCAGCATTTTCAGCAGTAAAAGAAATTTACGAAATTATTTTTAAAGGTTTTTCGAAATCCACAAATAAAAAACACAGACACGTCTATTATCCCTAAAGTTTTATTTTTTTTTTTTTCTTTCCAGAGCCATTAACAGAAAACTCTTCCCCTCCCCATCCCCCTTTTTGTACAAAACAAAAATAATGAGAACGCACTTAATTATCTTTAAACTGTCTACACTAAACCAATGAATCTGTTACAAAACACATTTTTTTTTTTTCGTTTTCAGTTTAACCTACAAAAAACATTTTTTTTCCGTGTTTTTTTTAAATATCGTCAATATAGGAAAAAAAAAAAAAAAGGTTTATTTTTTTTTTTTATTGTAACGTAGCTCACATCCTATTTTTTTTTTTTTCCATAGTGCTAAAAATGCACTAAAAGTGTCGCATCTCACCGTGCCTACATCGGGCACAGAAAGAATCTACATTTCCCTCAAAAAGAGAAAAACTATTTTAAAGAAAAAAAAAAAAATACAAAGTAACTCAGGGCTTTTTTTTTTTTCGGTTTCTTAAAACGGACGCAAGAAAAAAAAAAAAAAAAAAATATGATGTACATACTAAAACGAGTGGCTAAAATACAACTTTGATACACGCAACAAACAAACAAAAAGAAAAACCTCTCCTTCTCAACCACTGGGACAACTGAGAATAACCGGCGCAAATACAAAATCGGACTGCTTCCCCGAGCAACCACAGTTTAGAAAAGTTAGTTGCTATGGCAACAACTGTTTTTGGAAATTTTTTTTTTTTTAGTTTGCCTTTCTATCTGCAATCTGATGTGTCTATTGCTTACTACCTCACTCCTGTTGCAGGACCTCTTTCACTGAGGGAAGAGAGGGGTCTGTGTTGCCCATAGCAACAAGATTCCAGTTTCTAATTTGCTAACAGTGCGTAAAATAAAATGCTGCTGGGTTGCTATGGCAACACACTGATTTTACGCTTAAAGCCCAATTGATGTGCCGCACTCCTGTTTTCTTCATAGACCTGCACTGCCAGATGTTATGATTTAGAACCTGTTTGCTTGGAATGCCTTAAAGTGTATTTTCAATTTTGCAGACAAATAGAGATAACACGTCATAAAAAATATAAAAAAAAAATTGATGCTTTTTTTTTTACCCTTTTACTTTTCTCTTTTCTGAAAACTTTAAAATTAAAGCTTTCCTCTGCTGTAGAAAGTTAAAGAAGGGGATGGGGTGTTAATGTTTACCGTAATATACCTTGTTTGTACTGTGCTGGCAGATCTCACCATCAGCTGTAAACTCGATTTGACCCCCTATCCTTCTAAAGAGTTGAAGCTCTTAAGGCCTGACTTCTGCATTGTATGTTATTGAGGGGAAACTTAAGTCTCTCCCTATGTTGTCGCTCCACTTGGGCTCGGAAACTGTAGCTTGTCAAGGCATGTCCCTAAGAAACAACTAGAAAGGTATGAATTATTTAAAAAAAAAAAAAGATTTCTAAGTATGGTGTTTGAATGGCAAACATATAGCGAGGTTTTCCGAATTTGACTGCAAAAGTGGCACTACACTTTAAATGATTTTTGCTGCTTTCTGCCCTCCTGGTCTAGCGAGCTATGATGAAATAGAGGAGTATTAAAGTGTTACTAAACCCCGGACCCTGCATTTACTGTATCTGGTCTCCCCGGACCCTGCATTCACTATATCTGGTCTCCCCGGACCCTGCATTCACTCTATCCGGTCTCCCCGGACCCTGCATTCACTCTATCCGGTCTCCCCAGGACCCTGCATTCACTCTATCCGGTCTCCCAGGACCCTGCATTCACTATATCTGGTCTCCCCGGACCCTGCATTCACTCTATCCGCGGTCTCCCCGGACCCTGCATTCACTATATCCGCTCTCCCCCCGACCCTGCATTCACTATATCCGCTCTCCCCAGACCCAGCATTCACTATATCCGCTCTCCCCAGACCCCGCATTCACTATATCCGGTGTCCCCGGACCCTGCATTCACTATATCTGCTCTCTCCCCGGACCCTGCATTCACTATATCCGGTCTCTCCCCGGACCCCGCATTCACTATATCCGCTCTCCCTGGACCCTACATTCACTATATCTGGTCTCCCCGGACCCTGCATTCACTATATCCGGTCTCCCAGGACCCTGCATTCACTATATCCACTCTCCCCCGGACCCTGCATTCACTATATCTGGTCTCCCCGGACCCTGCATTTACTATATCCGGTCTCCCGGGACCCTGCATTCACTATATCCAGGCTCCCCGGACCCTGAATTCACTATATCCGGTCTCCCCGGACCCTGCATTCACTATATCCAGTCTCCCACAGTGCACACAACATGGAAATGACATTATTTTAGTAAATATAAACTGCTAAATACCTTTTCTCATCTGTGGTTAGAGCAGTTTTGTTCAGTGTCCAGCAGAGCACTGGTTAAAGCTTGTAGGAGGAGTTTTCTTTCTGATATAGGAGGATGCAGAACCCCTGACCTCTATCTGGACAGTGCTGATCGGCCCTGTGCTGATCACACTCTCCCAAGAAAAAAAACCTCTCTAGCAATTCATACCAAACTGTGCATGTGTACCGTGTCCCCACATGATAGGACTTATCAGGAGATAAGAGAGGACACTGGAAGAAGGGGAGGATCAGAGAAGTCAGGATCAAACTGCGTTTTTACACAATCAGCAGTATATAGCAGTCTTGTGACTTCTATCAGTATCTAGCTGAGCACTGGTTAAAGCTTGTAGGAGGAGTTTTCACTCTGCTCTGACTGTCCTATGAGGCTGCTTAATCCCTGACCCTCTGGACAGCGCTGATTAGCCCTGTGCGGATCACATATGCCCTCCCAAAGAAATAAAAAGCACTCTAGCCATACACGTCAAACTGAGCTTGTGCAGAGTGACTCCTAGGGCTTTGTACTATCAGCAGATGGATTAGGGACAGCAAAAGGGGAGGATCAGTGAAGACAGGATCAAACAGCCTTTTTACACATTATGGAGGATTAACCCCTAAGGTTCCACAGTGAATATATCAAGCTTGATTTACTGCATCTACCGACTGATTTTACTGTTGTGGGTTTAGTAACACTTTAAGCAGTGAAAATGCTGCCACCCGCTTTCACACTGCAGTGCTTTATGCTGGCAGAGCTGAGTAACAGCCACACCCCTCAGGACAAGTGTCCCAATACTGACTGAAGATTGCGGAGGAAGAGAAGGGGCGTGTCTGACCAGGTCTGTTAGATTAGAGCGTGCCCTGGTCTGGGTGGTCAAATCCTTGCACCAATTGAACTATATAGTGATATTTAGATAACTGCAGTAACAGGATAGTGGAGAAATGACTACATGAACATCATCTGCTAGTACAAGGTCTATCTGGTCGAATATCTTTTTGTGCAATTTCAATTGGGCTTTAAGACCCCACAGTGCTCCTGTCACCTACAACAGAGGTCCAATATTTAAAGGGCTAAGTTCAACTTTTCCAGAAAAAAAAAAAAAAGCCTATTCCGTCAACAGGCCCCAGCTTTGTAAAAAGTTCATTCATTTCATTGTCATGCCTGTAGGCCATCCTGGAAACCTTGGCCAAAAAACTCTCAGCTAGAGATCACCACGTCCTACCTTGTCGCTAGGAAGTCAAAAACCATTGGAAGCTCGCTCCCAGGATTACAGGGGCAAAAAGCAACCAATGGCTAACCGGGAGTTTTACAGCCAGGTTCCAGGGTGGCCCAAAATGGCTTACAAGACTGACATTAAAATTAAGGAACAATTTAAAAAGTTGTACAGGTCTTGTTATCTACCAATTGACTATAGAGGCCATTTTCTACAAAAAAAAAAAAAAAAAAAAAAAAAAGGACGGACTTAGCTTTTAAAATGAACCTGAGAGGGCCTACAAGGTGCCTAGGCAAACAACATTACTCTCCTGCAAGAGTTAAAGCAGAGCTCCACCCAAAAGGGGAAGTTCCGCTTTAAGCCTTTGTCCCCCGCTACCCATTAGGGATTGGCACCTTTGGGGAGCGTGTACCTGAATTTGACAGGTACTCGCTCCCAGTTCTGCTGCGATCACCTAAAGGCAGTGGTTCTCAACCTGTGGGTCGCGACCCCTTTGGGGGTCGAACGACCCTTTCACAGGGGTCACCTAAGACCATCGGAAAACACATATTTCTGATGTGTAAAGAGCAGCTACTGTGTAAAGAGCAGCTGCTGTGTTGAAAGCAGCAGTATTGGAGGTAAAACGACACTTCATGAATTATAATTACTGGGTAAATAATTTTATGGTTGGTGGTCACCACAACATGAGGAACTGTATTAAAGGGTCACGGCATTAGGAAGCTTGAGAACCACTGACCTAAGGCGATCGGAGGTGAAAGTCGTCCTCCCTCCCCATAGTCTTTTGGGACACACGACAGGTCCCAGAAGACTACGAGGCCATTCACGAAGCGCATCGCTTCTCATGCATGCGCAGTGGGCACCCGGCTGTGAAGCTACAAGCAGTCACAGCCGGGTGCCCACACTGAAGATGCCGGTGCCGGGGAGAGAAGACGGCCGGTGAAACCAGCAGTGGTGAGGACACCACTGGACCGAGGGACAGGTGAGTGCCTGTATTTTAAAAGTCAGCAGCTACAGTTTTTGTAGCTGATGACGTTTACTTTTTTTCAGCTGGAACTCCAATTTAAGCTGGTCATATACATTAATTAATTTCAACCACTGGGATCGGCTTTAAATGATCAAAAGTAATCTATAGAAATTAGGAAATTATTTTGATTTAGCACCAAAAATTGGTCCATGGTCAAGGCAAACCTAAGCAGAGAAGGAAACCACCTTTTAGGTCTTCCATTGCTTTGCAATTTTAAATCCAAAGTTCTATCGCTTAATCAAATTGCCACGTGCATGGTCTTCGAATCAATCCCTGGGGCCCTACGGTGCTCCTCCCATGGATCCTAGATTCAGGCTGAGCACATGGCCACCTCAACTTCATAAGGTCCAAGTCCAGGTAAATGCCAGGCCCTCTACTGCCCACTGAAGCTCTGGTATTTGAATTCAGTGATGGCGGTGGGGGTTGAATCTTTGAGAATTTGAGGCTCTATATGAAGCCTGGGCATCAAGGGGCTCTACAGGGACCCAAGCACTGATAGGACGAATAATGCAGGTACCGACTCTTCACCACTATGGTTATCCTAGGCAATTTTTAGGTCAGGCTGCCTCACACGTAATTCTCTATGTAACAGGGGACATGTTTCTGAGTATGTAATTCAAAACTTTATGACATCTATGATTGCAGATACAGACAAGCGGCACAGATCCGGTCTTATTAAGTCTCATGATTTCAAGTTCTGGCAGAACCATGTGTTGCTCCAAGCAGCCAACTTGTCCATCCTTTTTACATTGATAACAAGTGATAAGGACACCCCCTTTTAGACAATTTCAGCCAAAATGCCCAATGATCTAAAATCCCCGGCGCACCCTTAGCTCCAAATCCAAAGGTGCGAACGGTAAAGGACACAGAACAACTGGATCGGAAAGGAGGGCCAAATACAGCAAGTCTGAATGGGCAACGAATACAAAAACAGAAGGGAAAAAATAGTACGGCAAAGCGGATTGGGTACAACAGAGGCCCTTCTCCAAATCGAGCTGCGTTTTGCCCTAAACAAATTTTATACATAGCAGAACAACGTAAAAAGCGAAACGACATAGAGGCAGGTTTGGTATATGGAAAATGGTGGTTCTGGTCTTGAGCAAAACGTTCCTGGATGATGAAGGACACAGTACTACACAGGCAAAATGCACAACCGGTTCAAGCAAGAGGGGGCAGATGGGGAAGTAGTAAAATGGTAGGTCACCTTAAAGCCCAAATAAAGTTTCATACCTTTTTATTTCTTTCTAGTTCTGGGATAGCTAGGAAATGCCTTAAAATGCTTCACTCTGCAGTGCTATATCCTGGCAGAGCTGAGTAACAACCACACCCCCTCAGACTTGTTTTGAAGAAACAGGAGGGGTGTGTGTCTAACCAGATTTCCTACAGAGTGCACTCACTAACCATCTCTGGTGCCTACAGCACTACAGATACCCTACACAACTTCTGTAATAAGAAAATGGAAGAAAGACTACTAACCAGTTCACCTTGGTTGAACTGGATGGACTTTTGTCTTTTTTGTTCAGCCAGACTAACTATGTGACTATGTAACGTGAGGGTTGCTAACACAATGACTGATTAGATATCTAGTTCTGCGACTTCATCTGGGCTTTAAGCAGAGCTGGAAAAATATGAAACGCATGGGGTTGTAGGGAAAAAATGTAACAAAAGAGAAGAAACCTCATGAAAAAAAAAAAAAAAAAAAAAAAAAAATTTGCCCATGACCACCGATCAGCATCTCTCTTAGCATCACAGTTTAGAAAATAAAAGAGCAGCTGCCTGGTTGCTATGGAAAATTGTTCTTCTTTCAGACACTTTAAGGCCCGTAATTTACATGGATTTTTAAGGAGGGCTGCACAAAAATAAAGTCAGTCAGGGAAGGAAAAACTGAAAAGCGCATCAATTTCCTTCCAAGGTAGAAAAGTAGGAGAGGTTCAAGGTTCACGGTGCCACAACTGTTATACAGATTTTTTTTTTTTTTTACATGGAGGCCAATCATGCTCCAAGATACCCTATCAGACCGCTACAGCCCTGAATCAATCTAAAGTGTACCAGTCACTGACACACTTGAGGAGGCCGTTTTGTGTCAGACTCAGTATAATGCAGCCTATCGGATCACTGAGAACTGATGACATCACTTGTTGCATCCAAATTGTTGATTAAGTGATATTCCTTGCTCCTAGATGGCAAACAGGCTGCACTCAAGAACGAGTTAGTAGAAAAAATGGCTGCTTCCAGTGTAACGGAGAAAGGTACACTTTAAACACATCAGTTCCGCTCAATCTCCTCTTAAAAAAAAAAAAAAAAAATGTCAGTTTCCCCTCAGTTAGAGTCAGAGTCTGAGGAGTCTCCTGAAGACGAAGACGAGGAACTGGAACCGGATTCGTTGTCGTCGTCCTCTTCATCATCCTCCTCTTCATCTTCATTCTGTTGGTAGGGAACACAGTGGTCAGTGCTACATACTTTACAGGTACCTTTGGAAAAGCAAGTTTGACCCCATCAGCTCACCTCCTCCCCATCCTCGCTGTCTTCTTCACTACTAGACTCAGAGGAGTCTCCTTCAGATGAGTCCTCCTTATCCTCCTCCTCATCATCATCATCGTCGTCGTCATCATCATCGTCGTCATCATCATCGTCATCATCATCGTCGTCATCGTCGTCCTGAAATGAAGGTGGTAAGTCAGTCATACCAAAACAGTGTCCAGAGAAAGGCTCTTAATCTAATCCATGGCCTGCCAAGGTAAAGGTTGTCAACTAGTTGTGACAACCCCCAAGGAGCTCATCAGACTTTGCCTTACTGTGTAACACTCTATGAACCCAAGGGATACAACTCTGGGACTCCACGTTGGGTGATTCACAAGTTATGCAGAGCAGCACAGACATCCTTTCCTTCACTCCCATAAAGATCTATTCAGCTGGTGGCAGTGAAGAATACTGCAACTTTGGAGTTAGAAGGAGCATGTGACTTCCCATGAAATTATTATATTTAAAAAAAAAAATTCACCACGCTTAGGTAATACCGTGCAGAACCTTCCCCCAGACTGCACTTAGGTACTTCCGTTAGGATACCGCTTCCCCGTCCGAACACCAACCACAGACACCACATACAAGACTAGACAACACCAGTCTTGAAGTAAACCAGGAAATAGACTCGTTTATTTTAACACAAATACAAGATATATACATTCAACGTAACAACCCCCCCCCTGCATAATGACACAGGGTGGGGCAATCTACCTTTAGTAACAAGAGACACACCAGCAGACAGTCCCATCAGGAGGGAGGGATGCTGGAAACACCCCCCACCAAGCCAATACACATAAATACATACATCCCATAATAGTTTTCTCCCAAGCCAGACACACAATAGAACAATGGGATGCAACCACATGGCATTAAACAATCCACAACTCCCCACCCCAGTATTAGGACAGATCACCCTGTACCCCTAACAGGCACAGGGTGACTTACACATAAAAGGAATATGGGGAGCTGAAACAGGGGTCTCCCCACCTCTCCAAAGTGAGCTGTGTTCCATGGGCCCCCCACCCAAAGTGACTCCCGTCACAATTAGTACCTGTAATAAATAAATACAGCGTTTGCTACACAGTGACTAGTGTTAAAAACTCTCACTAAGCAGATTATCTAGTGAGGAAGTTAAAGGTAAGAGCTTTGGCCCTGTCAGGCATGCGGTGATCCTCTTATGTTAGGAGGTCACAAGGGTGCTTGCATAAGAAGCTCCCTTATTCTATTTTGTGCAGAGTTTACTTTTAAAATAGATCTCCAGCCTAAACCTTCATGCACAGCTACGGAATGGATGGGGAAGAGATAGAACCCAGTTTTTTATTGCCGTTTGGTTCCCTGTTGTCTTGGGACAGAAAGTGATGGGAGGTTGCCATCACCAAAAAAAGGTTAGAGGACATCTTCCCATGAGGACACCTGTTCTGGCTATAACGGTGTCAGATGGGATGTCCTCCTACTTCCAGTTAGGTCTTTGGGACAGGAGGTGAAGAGAAATCTCCTTTCCAAAAAATATAGATTTGAAAACCACTTACAGATTTGTTCTGAGACGTTGCCTTGGATTTGGGGTTGGGTCCCTTCAGCTTTGTAGTGCTTTTACGCTTCTGCAAAGACAAGATAAATATGGGCAATGAGCCTACACGATCTTCCCTAACATACCAAAGACAGTTCCTTGCCAAGTTGGTATACTCACACTAGAAAAATCATCTCTTTGTAGGCGGCACGATCTTGAGATGACAGACTCTGCAAGAAAAATGGAAAGGTTATCCTAAGGTTGGACAAGTAAAAAGAACAGCTGGCCTACAGGAAGCCAAGGAAGGAGACTCACCTTCATCCAGTTTTCGAGCTGCATGCGGTAGATTCTCTGTTGATCTTCGGCCTGCTTTTTATAATATTCTTTCTGGCTAGGGGAGATCCGTTGCCAGCGACTTCCAATTTCCACCATCCGCTCCTTCAAGGGGAGGTGATTTAGCTCTCCATTTGACAACAGCTCCTGGGAGAACTTCTGATAGCCATTCCTAGAGAAAAGAAAAAAACCCAGGATTATGCGATATGAGAGTCATGAAAAATGTCCACAAAAAAGGGACTTGAATAACAGGGAGATATGTTTAGGTCCTGGGTAGTCCATGTAGCGCAGCACAGCTTGGAGGACTATCAAGAATATGCTCAAAAGTGCTAAAAGGTGGACCAGATGTGTTCATTATGGTGGTTGCCAATTTGGCAGAGCAGTGATCTGAAACCTGCTGGTTGTATTCAGAAAAAGGCTACGACAGTGTAAGTCTGGCTAACACTAGTTTAGGCAAAACATTTCTAATATTCTATTGGATAAATAAACACATCAGCCATTACATTAGGAACACTGACAGCTAAAGTGAATTACATTGATTAGCTTGTTACAATGGGACCTGAAAGTGGGTGAGATGCATCAGGCAGCACTTGAACATGTTGCCGCTGAAGTTGATGTGCTGAAAGAAAAAATGGCCAAGTGTAGGGATCTGAGAGACTTTGACAAGGGCCAGATTGTGATGGTTGGATAACTGGGTCAGAGTAACTCCAAAACTGTAGCAGTTGTGGGTTGTTTCCAGCCTGCAGTGGTCAGGAATGACCAAAAGTGTTCCAAGAAAGGAAAACTGGCGAACCAACCCCAGGCTCATGGGCGGCCAAGGCTCACTGATGCACATGAGAAGCAAAGGATGGACGGTGTAGTCCAATCCAATAGAAGGGCTACTGTAGCTAAAATTACTAAAGAAAGTTAATGCCGGTTCTGAAAGAAAGGTGTCAGAACACACAGATTATTGTGTATGGGGCTGTGTAGCTGTAGACAGGTCAAGGTGTCCACAGCCAAAAAGTCCATACAATGGGAATGTGAACATGAGAATTGGACCACAGAGCAATGGAAGAAGGTAACCGGTCTGATGAATCACTTTTTTTTTTCTTTTACATCATGTAGATGGCTGGGTGCATGTGTGTTGCTTATCTGGGGAAGAGATGGCTCCAGGGATGCACTATGGGAAGAGGACATGCCGGCAGAGACACATACCACAGCATACCTTCAGAGGTCTAGTGGAGGCCATGCCTCAACTGGTCAGGGTTGTTTTGACAGCAAAAGGGGAACCTACACAATATTAGGTGGGTGGTCATAATGGTATGGATGACTGGATATATCTTTACAGTACTGGGGGTCCAGTCATCACAGCAGCATATTAGTTGGAGCTATAGCACTGGGATCTTGTGCTTGGTGGTAATGGAAGTACAGGTGAGGGGAAGAGACATGATGGGAGAGTGAGTTTGGTAAGGCAACAGATCCAGTGAGCTACCACCATAGCAGGTTAATAGGAGGACAGATGAGGGTAAAACTGTGGCTTTATCGGTAAAGTCAAGAGAAATAATGGGTGGGGATTGATGATGGCAGTTAAAGTGGATGTAAACCCCTACATATACCCAGTGAAGTGACTAGCCTCAGGTGATACACAAAGATGAAACAAATCCTCCAGTGTAAGTTGTACCTGTTTATCTGCATTTTTCTCTTCTCTACATCCAAAGTGCTGAATTTACACAGGATCTCTCAGCTCTGAATAGTAGGGGGCTGGGAGCTACATCATTGAGTTGAGGCTGTGAGTCACAGGCTGTTCCCTCCCCTGTCACCTTTTTTCTCTTGGTGTCAGGAAATTTAATCAGAAGTGACTTATCCTTATAGCACAGGAATGAGGCAGCGGACAGAAATCACACTTAGTGCTCTAGATAGAGACAAGTACACACTATAGAGGGATAAGCTTTGTTCATATTTCATGTCTGAGGTTTACAACCACTTTAAGAGTTTTATCTGCCAACGTGATGGCTGTCAATGTGTAACAGAGGACAGATCTCTCTGATGAGGTGCTTATTATGTCCAGCTGTTCTATAACTTTAATAATTTCCCATATAAGTGGCATCAATGTACCTGACCTCAACTCTTAACAAGTGAAGCACCTTTATGGCTTTCCTGCAGACATGCCCACATAATTCACTGCGCTACTCAAGGTCCTTCTCCATCCTGACCACCTACCTCCCCTTGCAACTGTACACCCAGTGTATCTCCTATTGGCTCATGCCTAGGATCTTTTTGCTCATCCAACAAGAACAATAATAAAACAGGTTAAGGAATACTGTACAAACGTACATTGGGGCTTTCTTGGGTTCTCCTTGGAACTTCATCTTCTTGCCACCGGCTGTGGTTGCTGGAGCTGACCTCATGTCGCTTAATTCTCTCTGAAAAGAAGCAGGAATAAGAACCAATGATGGCGCCCTTTTCAACTATAGATTTATAGATCGCGTGCCATGTCATCTCTTAATACCTCATATCGCTTCTGGTCTTCAGCTGCTTTTTTGATCCACATGATCTTTTCTTTCTTCTCCATGTTCATCCAGGTGGTCTCCATACTCTTCAGGGCTTTGGCTCGGTCATTCTAGAATTAAATAAGAAGGAAGGATTTTTACTCTAACCGTTAATATATTTTTTACTCTGATGAACTTATTTAACAACAGAGTGCAGAAACTGTTGATGTACAGTAGAACATGGCAAGGAAAACTTAGTTCTGCTTCCTTTCAGGCCATGCCCCTTTAACGCGTTTCAGCCGCTTGTAGGCTTACTCAGAGACCTCTACGGCTACACCAATGAGTGGATGAAACGCGTTAAAGGGCCGTAGCGTGGGAGGAGGCAGAGCTGAGGCCTTTCTGACATTCTGTGAACCGGGTGGCTTTCTGATGTGCACGTCCATTTTTCTTCTTCCAAAGACGAAGCAAGAAATGCAATTTAAAACAGCTTAAAGAAAGCATATTTCTGAATGCTGCAAATACATTACTACACTTTGGTTCAATAAATACAAACCAAAGCAGACAAATTTGAAAAATTGTTACGGAACACATGGAGTTAGTTGCATATTCATTAAAGTGGAACTTCAGGAATAATTTGAGATGACAGACTTACTATGGGCCCCCGCTTGGTTAAAACCAATGGATACCATGCCACAACTTTATGGCTGGTGGGGCCCTTGCAATCCACTGTAGTAGAGGTGTCCTCTTCAGGAGGGGTAGAAGCAACTACCCTCTGCTGCCAGGAACAGAAGAGAGCCGAGCCCTCCCATCCCTACACCACTCATTAACCACCTTGAACTTTTGTCAATGAATACTACGTAGGCTCTGATTGGCTGAGATGTAGAGGAGGAGAAATTGACATCATCTCCACCTCGGCCAATCAGAGCCTGCCTAGTATTCATTGACAAAAATACAAGGTGACTCCTGAATGGTGGAGGGACATTAGTGGGTGATGTTCTTTTGTTTCCAATGGTAGGTAGGCTCTGATTGGCTGAGATGTAGAGGAGGGGAAATTGACATCATGATCTCCACCTCGGCTAATCAGAGCCTGCCTAGTATTAATTGACAAAAATACAAGGTGGCTCCTGAATTGATTAAGGGACGTCAGTAGGTGATGTTCTTTTGTTTCCAATGGCAGGTAGGCTCTGATTGGCTGAGATGTAGAGGAGGGGAAATCGACATCATGATCTCCACCTCGGCCAATCAGAGCCTGCTTAGTATTCATTGACAAAAAACAAGGTGGCTCCTGAATTGGTTAAGGGACTTCAGTGGGTGATGTTCTTTTGTTTCCAATGGCAGGTAGGCTCTGATTGGCTGAGATGTAGAGGAGGGGAAATTGACATCATGATCTCCACCTCGGCTAATCAGAACCTGCCTAGTATTCATTGACAAAAATACAAGGTGGCTCCTGAATTGGTGGAGGGACGTCAGTGGGTGATGTTCTTTTGTTTCCAGTGATAGGGAAAGTCGCTCCCTCCAGGAGGACGTAGATTGAGAAAGCCAACACTACCAGGTACTGACTGGTGATGCAATAAATAAATACAGAAAGCAGATTTGTGACCACTCTCCTGTAACGCGTCTCTAGAGGAGTAAAACAACGACTTTTTCTAGTTCACCTTAAATCGAGCAAGGTAGTCTCCAATCACACTCTGTTGCCAAATTTCTTCAGCCGTTTTTGGTGGTTCAGGAAGTTTCCCCCTCTCATCTGCGCCTTTCTTTTTATCTTGCTGTCCAGATTTGTTCTTTGCCTGAGCAGAGGAAAAATGCAATTTTGACATTTATCAGAACACGAAGAACTTGAAATAAAAATGCCGAAAAGGTGCCAGCCGTCACATTGGTCGCTCACCTTTGCTGCTTCCTGGGCTGCCAACTTGGAGGCAGGAGTGCTTGTTACTTTCTTGTTCAGGCTGACCATCTTTTCTTCTGCCAGGACCCTCTGTTGTTCCTCCTCTGGAAGAGTCTACAAAAGCAAAATCGTCTATTGTTGAACCAAAACAGTCGCAGCACTGGTCCTGATAGGATGGACTGTAGCACATCAGCACATTTTTAGATCAAAATAAAGACTCACCTCGAGGAAACGCATTAATTCCACTTCATATTCTTTCTTTTTCTGAGCGGAGGAGAAAAGTAAATGGATGGAAAAATTTACTTTGATGTAATGACACAACCGGCACACAGATCCATCTGCTCCTCTGTAAGGAGACTCTAATAAGATGCACAACAATGCTTTACTCAACATCTGACAACATGCTGGTCTAGCCCCTCCCACCTAGCAACACATGATCATGTGGGAATCACATTATTGGTCGATTTGCTTCTATTGCAGCTACTCTAAAAACAGGTTCAAGACATCCCCTGATAGCAAGAAGAAAAAGAAAATAGTAAAATGAAATGTGGGAAATTGGGGGGGAATAGGCAAAATGTATCTTTTTTTTTTAAATTTGTAATGATTGGAATAATGTTGGATTTTGTAATATTAAAATTAATAAAAATATAAAAAAAAAAAAAAAAAAAACAACAGACATCCCCCAACAGCCAACATTGCCTGTATTTATTAATAAATCCTTAAAGTGGTTTTAAACCCTTCCATATACCCAGTGAAATGACTGGCCTCAGGTGATACACAGAGATGAAACAAATCCTCCTACATAAGTTGTACCTGTTTATCTACAGCTGTTTTCCCCTACATCCATTCAAAGCGAAGAATTTACACAGCACCTCTCAGCGCTGAAAAGCAGGGGGTGGAGAGCTGAAGTTATGTCAGTGAGGAGAGCTCTGAGAGCGGATTGGAGGAAAGAGAAACAACCCCCTCTACACAGTTTACGGGAACAGAGCTGAGATTGTCAAATCACAGGTTGTGTGCTGCAGCTCCCTTCCTTGTCACCAATTTTTCTCTTGGTGTCAGGAAAACGCATCAGAAGTGACTCATACACATAGCAGAGGAAGGAGGCAGCAGACAGAAATGACACTCAGTGCTCTGGATAGAGACAAGTACACACTATAGAGGGATATACCTTTTTTTCATATCTCATGCCTTCCTCTGGATCAACTGTGGGTAAAGGATTATAACTTTTTCTTTTTTTTTTTGGTTGAACTGGATGAACTTTTGTCTTTTTTTCAGCCAGACTATGTCTGAGGTTTACTACCACGTAAAATATATTTGTGCAAGCAGTTTAAGTACCTAAATTTTACAATGTCAGATTTCAGTCACCAATACAGCAAAGCTCATACTGGAGGTGGGGAAGCAGCACTAAAAGCCAGTTCCACAGAGCTAGGAGCATGCTGATAGCATGAGAGAGCAGAGTGACAAAGATATGCGTTCAGGGATCTTCCGCTTCACTGTCGAGTCGCAGGTTGGAGGAAGGAGAAGACCTCTACTGCGCATTTTACATAATCACCTGATAGGAGATTCAGCAGGCTTCTCACACTACCTTTGCTGAAGCCTCCAATCACAATGAAGTTAGACCACAAACACTGTCAGGTCAGGATGAGATTACCTGCTCACACTTCTTGTGATAAGCATCCTTTTCCCTCTGGGAGAGCAGCTTCCACTGCTGACTGCACAGCACCATGCGCTCTGTACTGGGCACATCCTTCATGTTGGCCATCAGCTCTGCACAGTACATGGAATAGCTATTTCTGTAAGGGGAAATAAAGGCCATAGCATTAAACACGACCTGGATCTCACAGAATCAGGATGCTTGACGCACGCTACCAACAGCAACACCACTGGGAAATGCGCAATTCACAGATGTCAACTGCAGCAAATCATACTTTCCGCCATTTGGTACAAGTATGCCAAGGAACACCACAAAACATTTATAAATGATCAGATTCATCCTGATGAATGTATGTACTCATATAAAACCCTTCAGTATTTATTCCAGCTCTAAAAATACCTACCCTTTCTAAAAATACCAGATTTCTGGCAGAATTCCCATACCGTATTTTTAGATCTTAAAGTGGAATTCAAGCCCAACACTATTTTTAAAAATGTTTGCTCCCCCTCCTCCTACCTTTCCAACACGGTGTAAAAAAAAGATATATGTACCTTTTTTTAGTCTGGTTATGAGATCCTGCAGCTCCAGCTTTCCCGTGACATGAAGCACGCGACAACGGCTGGGAATTCTGGGACCCGTGATGTCACCCATAGCCCGTTGTCTGCGCTTCCTCCTCTCCCCTGCAGCAGCCGCTCACGGACACAGGGAAGCTGGAGCTGCAGGATCAGGTGACTAGCCTAAAGCAGACTTACAAAAAAAAAAAAAAAAAAAAAAAGAGGGGCAGCAGATGCTCACTGACACAGGAGAGCTGGAGCTGCAGGATCATGTGACTAGCCTAAAGCAGAAAGAAAAAAAAAAAAAAAAAGGGACAGCAGACACTCAATTGACACAGGGAAGCTAGAGCTGCAGGATCATGTGACTAGCCTAAATCAGACTACAAAAAAAGGGGTAAGTATACAGATTTTACACAGGGTAGGCAAGATAGGTAGGAGTGGGGGAGGGAACATATTTAGGACTAGTTAGTGTTTGATTTAATATGGAATTCAAGCCTAACACTATTCTTAAAAATGTTCTCTCCCCCCACTCCTACCTACTCTGTGCAAAATCTATATTAACCCCCTTTTTTTTTTTTTAGTCTGCTTCAGTCAAGTCACATGATCCTGCAGCTCTAGCTTCCCTGTTGCAGTGAGCAGCTACTGCAGGGAAGGGAAGGGAGCGCAGACAACAGCTGGCCATGGGAGCACATGGGTGACATTACGGCTACCAGAATTCCCAGTCGTTGTCAAGTGCTACATTACACAGGAGAGCTGGAGCTGCAGGATTTCGTGAATTGAATGAAGTAGACTAAAAAAAATTAAATTAAAAAAAACAAAAAGTAAACAACAACAAGAAAAAGGGGCAGCAGCCGCTCACTGGCACAGGGAAGCTGGAGCTGCAGGATCATGTGACTAGCTTAAAGCAGACTACAAAAAAAAAAAAAAAAAAGGGGGGAAGTATACAGATTTTACACAGGGTAGGCAGGATAGGTAGGAGTGGGGGAAGGAACATATTTAGGACTAGTTATTGTTTGATTTGACATGGTATTCAAGCCTGAACAGTAGTCTAAAAAAATGCCCCCCCCCCCCATCCTGCCTACTCTGTGTAAATTCTATATATTAACCCCCCCCCCTTTTTTTTTCAGTCTGCTTCAGTCAAGTCACATGATCCTGCAGCTCCAGCTTCCCTGTGTCAGTGAGCTGCTGCAGGGAAGAGGAGGGAGTGAAGACAACAGCTGGGCCATGGGAGTACATGGGTGACATTACGGCTCCCGGAATTCCCAGCCTTTGTCGAGTGCTACATGACACAGGAGAGCTGGAGCTGCAGGATTATGTGACTTGACTGAAGCAGACCATTGGGGAAAAAAAAAAAGGGGGGGGGGGGGAGGATAAGGATATAGATATTTTACACAGGGTAGGCAGGATAGGTAGGAGTGGGGGGAGGAAACATTTTTTTAGACTAGTCATTCTTAGGCTTGAATACCATGTTAAATCTGCTCTGCAGGAACACCCCAACTCCATGCGAATGACTTACGGAGGGGGTTTAGTGGGCCGACCATCAAACTTGTCTTTAAGCTGGCGCTCTGCCTTGGTCAGTGTAGAGCGGGTGATGCCCTCTTCGGAAATATTCATCTCTGGGTGCTTCTGAATGTACTCCCTCATCGCGTTCTGTAGAAGGATAACAAAAACGAAATACACGGTAAACATGAGAAACGACTTCTGCAATCACACCCGCATCTTTCTGAAATTTGAACTGTCTGTCTTGTCCCAACAGAACCAATCAGGTTGTGTTTTTTGTGTTCTCCGCAGTCGGAGACCTTTTAGCACTTCCACCAATAGAAAGCAGTATTGAAGGTTTCATGGCATTAATCCGTCTTAATATAATATTTATGAAAGCCTAAATCCAGCCGTTACTTATTTTTATATAAAGCTGAACTCCGGGGAAAACAAAAAAGCTTCATCGCAGAAGGACTGCCCTCACACAAGGGCAAAATTATTATTATTATGTCTAGAGGACTGCAAAAAACTTTGACTTACTCAATCCTTTGCTCCTGCAGGCTCCCCGCAGCTTCTTCTCCCCGGTGCTCTGGTGCCCTCTGATGCCATCATGACCAATTCAGAGCCCATAGCCCTGCACTGGATGTGAAGACACCAAGAAACAGTCCACTGCCAGAGCGTAGGGGAGTAGAGAAGAGAGACAGCTACAGGAGGAGTGGATGCAAGTAAAGCTCCTTTTTGTGGCCTCCTAGACTAAACTTTTAAAGTGTTAATAAACCCCGGACCCCGCATTCACTAGATCCGGTGTCCCCGGACCCCGCATTCACTAGATCCGGTGTCCCCGGACCCCGCATTCACTAGATCCGGTGTCCCCGGACCCCGCATTCACTAGATCCGGTGTCCCCGGACCCCGCATTCACTAGATCCGGTCTCCCCGGACCCCGCATTCACTAGATCCGGTGTCCCGGACCCCGCATTCACTAGATCCCTGCCCGGATTCACTAGATCCGGTGTCCCCGGACCCCGCATTCACTAGATCCGGTGTCCCCGGACCCCATTCACTAGATCCGGTGTCCCCGGAGCCCGCATTCACTAGATCCGGTGTCCCCGGAGCCCGCATTCACTAGATCCGGTGTCCCCGGAGCCCGCATTCACTAGATCCGGTGTCCCCGGAGCCCGCATTCACTAGATCCGGTGTCCCCGGAGCCCGCATTCACTAGATCCGGTCTCCCCGGAGCCCGCATTCACTAGATCCGGTCTCCCCGGAGCCCGCATTCACTAGATCCGGTCTCCCCGGACCCGCATTCACTAGATCCGGTCTCCCCGGACCCTGCATTCACTATTTCCGGTCTCCCCGGACCCTGCATTCACTATTTCCGGTCTCCCCGGACCCCGCATTCACTATATCCGCTCTCCCCCCGAACCCTGCATTCACTATATCTGGTCTCCCCGGACCCTGCATTTACTATATCCGCTCTCCCCGGACCCAGCATTCACTATATCCGGTCTCCCCGGAGATTTACCATCTCTTCCTGTCCTGGTGACACCCTATCACTGAGAAAGGAATCTGGGTTACCTAACCCCAGTAGGGACACCGCGATACTAACCTGACAATGATTTTAACCCTTTCCCACACCATGGGTTTTGGCTGGAGTCAACACCATTACCTCATAGAGTTTGCGCTGTTCAAGTGCTTTGTGAATCCACTTTAGACGCTTCTTATCTGAAAGTTGTGACCACTGTTTTCCTAAAGCATCCTTCACATCTTTAGTGCTGGCCTGCAATCAAAGACAAGGCTTTACCCTCCAATGTACTCAACCAAGAAGACATTCATTTCAACACACAACGCCTTGGACAATATGGGGGGGGGGGGGGGAATCATTGCATGACATACCTTGAATCATTGAGTGTGACAGTTTGTAAAAAATAAATACACAAATAATAATATATAAAAAATAATCAAAATGTAAAAAATTTTTTTTTAAAAATATGTTGTTGTTTTTTTTTTTTTTTTTAATAAACTGAAGTTGGTTATTTATTTACCAGAAAGATAGCTGAATACATTTTGGCCAAGATTTATGAAAAAAGATTATTTGCAAAAGTTTATAATAAAAACAAATTTTTTTTTAAAATATATTTGTTTTTTTTCATTTAAATTGCAAAAAAATAAAAATCCAAGGAGTGAATAAATGCCACCAAAAGAAAGTTTTATGTGTCTCAAAAAAATTCTAAAAATTTCATTTGGGTACAGTGTTGCATGACCACACAATTGTCATTCAAAGTGTGATAGCGCTGAAAGCTGAAAATTGGCCTGGGCAGGAAGGGGGTGAAAGTGTCCGGACTTGAAGTGGTTAAGCGGGCAGGTTTGTTTATAAACAAACTTCATGCAGTCGCCATGATTGGTCGCATTGGGAACAATGAAGACTAGTTTCCAGTCATTTGTTTGAGACCAGTGACAGCACATTCTCATTATCAGGGGCACCCACAGTGGAGTGTTGCTCCTAGATCACATGGAATACAGATTCTCTCCGCATGGGGAACCGTGGCTGAGAACATTAAGCTACAGACTGCAGGCATGAAGGGGATAGCTCCAGTTTGGAAGGGTTACATGCACTCCTCCTGGGAGCTTTGGTTGTAGCTACAGACATGTAAACTTTCAGGAGGTCTAAGCAAGTCTTGGCTTGGACTAGAAAAGGATTCAGTTTGGCCCAAAGACTGACTCTACAGTGGTCTGTAGAGTCAGTCTTTGGGCCAAACTGAATCCTTTTCTAGTCCAAGCCAAGACTTGGTTAGACCTCTGACAGGTTTACATGCCTTTCTCAACTTTTTTACCCCAGAGGACCCCTTGAAATAATCTTCACGTCTTTGAGAACCTCTACAAAAATTAATTCATTAGAGGTCAGTGGGAGGAAAGCACCTTACATTTGGGGTCAGTAGGAAAAATAAATTCCTACAGTGGTGGTCAGAATGCCACAGACAGTGGCAGACCTCATGGACATGGAACTATGGAGGCACCATAAGATGAGAGGTCAGTCAGCCCCCTAACAACTTCTGGAGGAACCCTGATTGAGAATCCCTGCTATAGACAATGAGTAACACTTACATCAGGTTTCAGCTTAAGGTAGACCTTCCTCTCGTGGTTGTACCACAGCTGCTGAGGAGTCTTGGGCTTTTCAGGGATGTCCGATTTCTTCGTGTTCTGCATGAGGTCTGGATGCTCCTCCCTGTACACACAAAGGAAAATTAGGCAAAAGACAAACTGACTCTGTAGTCCTGGCTGTCAAGTTGTAAATTAACCCTAGTCACCTAAATCTTGCCAGGTTCTTTTCAAAGTCCTGCTTCTCTCTCTGGAAATCTTGGATGTATTTCATCTGGAAAGACAATATGAGATTCCTGGGTCATGCAAACCTTAAAAGCAGCTTCATTCAAAGCTAAAGGTTGGATTACTAGTTGAAGCACAGCTTAAAATGGCTCATTGAAAAACAAAAAAAATATTTATTCAAAGTCACATGTTCAAAACTATAACTGTCCATATGTGTTTAGGTCTGCCAGGTATCTCACTTTCAAAGGTCAATCCATGCCAAGCAGATGCTGTGCTAGCTTACCTTTTTCTTCTCTGGTAACTCTTTATATTTTTTAGACAGGATCTTGGTGAGGTCCAAGTTGCTCATCTCTGGATGCAGCTTGGCATATTTAGCTCTCTTCTCCATAAAGAAGCGGAAGTATGGAGTCAGGGGCTTCTTGGGAAACTCAGGATGTTTCTGGAAGATGACATGGAAGACAAAGATTGAGGTGCTTAGTGTGTTCTGGCTGATCTGAAGCAAGGTTGAAATGAAAGTCTCAAAAGGTCAACAATGGAGAATATTGTCAAATGTTTGCTCACCTTCAGTTTCTTTCCTTTGTACGGATTCTTCACATGTTCTTCTGCATCCAGAATCAATTCTGTCAGCGTCCGAAACTTCCTGACCTGCAAGTGATATTGCATGAGTTCATATTACTATATGGAAGAGTCCCTGTAGTCTTGAAGCAAATGAAATGTTGAGGGGGGCAGGCACTTGGTGGTAGATCCCACCACCCTTTTGTATGATTCCTGCAAGATACAGTCCTTGTAGGCATTTTATAAAGCAACACTAAACAAATGCTTATATAGAAACATACACAATCATAGTTTTACAAATAAACATGAAATACATGGCAAAAGGAGTCCAAGAGCATTACAGGTCTTTCTGATGACGAAACCCGTTGGGTGGAGCTTTGGCGTGTGACCTCACCACGCTCTGGAGGGACGGCGGCCATATTTTCGGTTTGAAACATATCACATTCAATGCTGGTTGTTTTAATGCTTGATGTATGTGGATCCTTTATTAAATTGGTCAAACTTTTGCTGAATTACTACACTATGAGTTGCTTTTGTTTTATATCCCTTATTTGATCACCAGATAGGAGTTTTTCCTGCTCTTGAAGATCTTTAAAGAGGAGGATTATTCATCATCTTAAAAGGAGGATTCCTAGTGAAAATTACCTGCTTCAGTGATTTCTTATTTATTGCGCATATTGACCGGTATACGGCCTGAACGTCTGGTAAGGGGCTTATCTATTCGGGTGTGTTGGTGACGGTTTATGACGCCAGAATCTTCTTCTGCAACCTGTCTCATTTACTTGAGATTTATTTGGACTTTTATGTTTATACTTTATTAGCGCTGAAGTTTTGTTATTTATCAAAAGAGACAGAATAGCAAACCCTGTCAGACTTTGGACTGATCTCTCTGGTCTCTGGCTCATTTAGATTGAGTGACAGGGGACAGGCTTTTCTACTTAGGCTGTAGCTCCTTTCTTAAAAAAAAAAAAAAAAACTGTAGGACTTTTTTATACCTTCTGTTTTGATGCACCTGGAATCTGTTTAGCCGATTTGAAGTTCAGCTACAACAATAAAGGCACCATAGGATACAGGCACTCATTAAATCTGCTTTACATCAAAGTGCCAAGAGCCCTCCGTATTTGTTGTGCAAAACTGTCCTTCCAGGTTCTGAGGAACAACCCCAGCTGGACCAGTCACTTGTTCTTCTACACCAGACTTTCTCAACCTTTTTAAACATGGAGGAACCCTTGAAAGAACTTTCTGGTCTTAAGCAACCCCACTAATAATTATAGTATCTATAGCTCACAGTACACTAGTGTGGTGGTCAGTGGGAAGAATCTTTCTTACACTGGTGGTCAGAGGGTAGAATGACCCGTACATTAGTGGTCAAAGGGTAGTATGACCCTTACATTAGCAGTCAGAGGGTAGAATGACCCGTACATTGGTGGTCAGTGGGTAGAATGACCCGTACATTAGTGGTCAGTGGGTAGAATGACCCGTACATTAGTGGTCAGTGGGTAGAATGACCCGTACATTAGCGGTCAAGGGTAGAATGACCCGTACATTGATGGTCAGAGGGTAGAATGACCCGTACATTAGTGGTCAAAGGGTAGAATGACCCGTACATTAGCGGTCAGAGGGTAGAATGACCCGTACATTGGTGGTCAGAGGGTAGAATGACCCGTACATTGGTGGTCAGTGGGAAGAATGACCCTTACATTGGTGGTCAGTGGGAAGAATGACCCTTACATTGGTGGTCAGAATGACCCTTACATTAGTGGTCAGTGGGAAGAATGACCCTTACATTAGTAGTCAGAGGGAAGAATGACCCTTACATTAGTGGTCAGTGGGTAGATGACCCTTACATTGGTGGTCAGTGGGTAGAATGACCCTTACATTGGTGGTCAGAGGGAAGACCGACCCTTACATTAGTGGTCAGTGGGTAGAATGACCCGTACATTGGTGGTCAGAGGGTAGAATGACCCGTACATTGGTGGTCAGAGGGTAGAATGACCCGTACATTGGTGGTCAGAGGGTAGAATGACCCGTACATTGGTGGTCAGAGGGTAGAATGACCGTACATTGGTGGTCAGAGGGTAGAATGACCCATACATTGGTGGTCAGTGGGAAGAATGACCCTTACATTGGTGGTCAGTGGGAAGAATGACCCTTACATTAGTAGTCAGAGGGAAGAATGACCCTTACATTAGTAGTCAGAGGGAAGAATGACCCTTACATTAGTGGTCAGTGGGAAGAATGACCCTTACATTAGTGGTCAGTGGGTAGAATGACCCTTACATTGGTGGTCAGAGGGAAGACCGACCCTTACATTAGTGGTCAGTGGGTAGAATGACCCGTACATTGGTGGTAAGAGGGTAGAATGATCCGTACATTGGTGGTCAGTGGGAAGAATGACCCTTACATTGGTGGTCAGTGGGAAGAATGACCCTTACATTGGTGGTCAGAATGACCCTTACATTAGTGGTCAGTGGGTAGAATGACCCTTACATTGGTGGTCAGTGGGTAGAACGACCCTTACATTGGTGGTCAGAGGGTAAGAACGACCCTTACATTGGTGGTCAGTGGGTAGAATGATCCTTACATTGGTGGTCAGTGGGTAGAATAACCCTTACATTCGTGGTTAGGCAACCCCGTAAATATTTACACTATCTATAGCTCACAGTACATTAGCATAGGGTTCAGTGGGGAGTCTGGTGATCAATGGAAAGAAGGCTTACCTTGGTGGTCAATGGAAAGAATGCTCCTTACATTGCGATCAGAATGCTCCTCATATTGGTAGTCAGTGGGAAGAATACTCCTTACAGTGGTGGTCAGAATGCAGGGTGGCAGTGATTATATATATATATGGGGCATCACAGTGGCTAAATGGATAGCACTTCCACCTGGTAGTACTAGGATTGTTGGTTCAAATACCAACCACGGCACCACCTGCCTGGAGTTTGCATGTTCTCCCTTTTCCTGCGTGGGTTTCCTCCGGGTACTCCAAAGACATGCTGGTAGGTGAATTGGCTCCTGTCTAAATTAGCCCTAGTATGTTTATGTACGAATGTAAGCTAGGGACTCTATATTGTACGCCCCTTGAGGGTTAGGGACTGATGTGAATATACAATATATATGACAGCACTCTATAAGTACCTATAATAAATAAATAATATATCAGAGAGAGTAAGAACGTGCTCATTGTTCAAGAAACCATGTTTAACCTCTGAAGGAACTCGTTGAGAAAGGCTGTTCTCCGACATTCTAAACATAAATCTGGAACACTCTCAGTCCTCTACTCTACCTCATTTGAAATCTCAGTCCACTTTTGGCGGCACATGGACCCGTTGTAGTTCTTGAAGGACAACTTGTTCCAATCCAGGTGGGACTCGGTGGTCTTGAACTTAGTGTTGTCCTGACCTGGTAGGAGAGACTTCATTGTCTCCAGGAGAGTGAGCATGTCTTCTTGGGACCATTGGTCTGGGAGAAAGAAGGAAAAAAAAAAAAAAAAAAAAGGAACATGTAAATCAACCTCTATTGGTAAGGGTGTCCAACTTGTGTGTAGATCGGTCATGTATTTTGCTTTTACGTGTAGACCCATGCAAAATGGAAGCAGAAGAGGTAACTTGGGTAATTAGGGTTTGATCGCTAGGAGTCACAATTGGTTACTAAACAGATGGAACGGATGTCTTCCTATAGACTTCCAGGGATTGAATCATTTCTAGAACACTAGAATTTATAATCTGATTACAGCAACTCCCTTTAGGCCAGTTCACTGGCCAGATACAGGTGGGAACTTTGAAATATCTTTTGACGTCATACCTTGCCCTGGAGATGACAATTTATTTTTCCTCCACTAAATTGGGAGTTTCGCTTTAATTAGTACTCAGAACTTCAGAGTACTACCACTAGAGTGAGCCAGATCCCTTGTAGTCTACTGATCGCCCCTAGGCAACCGTAGAACTTCCAGAGCTGGCAGTCAACGCCAAGCAGTACCAAGCAACCCCTGGTCTCCTTACCTTGATCGTTTGGGGCAGTCATGGTGGTGTTGGTTTGCCCACCAGCTGCTCCGTTCATCCTTTGCTGGGCGGAACCTTAGCACCAAATTAGGCGAGTCTGTAAAATAAGATAAGACAAGTCAGTAGGACCGATCGCTAACACGAATGCAAGGAACAAACTCATAATATAGACCGGTCTGCAACAAAGGTTGATATACGATTGGCTGTTGGGCTTGCTTGACCTGTGCAACGCCCCAGAACTTCTTTCTGGTCATCATCCAGAGAGGCGGTCTGCTCCTGGTCAGCACCCAGAGAGGCGATCATGCTCCTGGTCAGCACCCAGAGAGGCGGTCTGCTCCTGGTCAGCACCCAGAGAGGCGGTCTGCTCCTGGTCAGCACCCAGAGAGGCGGTCTGCTCCTGGTCAGCACCCAGAGAGGCGGTCTGCTCCTGGTCAGCACCCAGAGAGGCGGTCTGCTCCTGGTCAGCACCCAGAGAGGCGGTCTGCTCCTGGTCAGCACCCAGAGAGGCGGTCTGCTCCTGGTCAGCACCCAGAGAGGCGGTCTGCTCCTGGTCAGCACCCAGAGAGGCGGTCTGCTCCTGGTCAGCACCCAGAGAGGCGGTCTGCTCCTGGTCAGCACCCAGAGAGGTGGTCTGCACCTTGCAGGGATCTTACTAGCTGGTTATCGGGCAGCAGAGTCCTTGATGACCAGCTTGATTTTAGAAGCAGCTGGTGACCCCTCAGCGACAATGTTGGCCTGTTGAGGATGGTGGTGGTGTTGGCGGGTTATCATATACAGTTTTCCCTTATAATTAAATAATGGGGGGGGGGTCGGTTCTGAATGACTAAAGGCCGGGGTCATTCTGTGTTCTGTGCCACCACATAAATAACTCAAGACAAGGGGATTTGCGCTGTTGCCACCTCAGCTGATAATACATGGCTAATGCAGGCCATACATGGTTCGAATTCCGAACGATTTTTCGTCCGAAAATCGAACCATCGTTCGTTCTCTAATCCGATGGTGCCACCAATGATTTCGAAAATCTGTTGTTTTTCACAAATTTTCCAGCATGCCCGATAAACTAAATGGGGAGGAACCACTAAAATCAGCTGATGCCATTGCCCCACTAACAGCCGATTATTCTTAGGTACGATTTTCGTGCGAAAATCGTTCAGAATTCGAACCATGTATGGCCTGCATATGAGTCACATCTGCCCCTGAATGAGGCCGCAGGAGTAGACTGATCTTGGCCTTCAGAATAACTGAGAGCTGAGGTCATTCTGTAGCTGTGCATGAATAACTTATTCAGGATGACTGAAGACCGCTGCCATGACATAACTCACTCAGAACTAAAGGCCGGGATCATTCTGCACCACCGCCGCCGCCTCAGAGTGTTACACGTTGTTGATGTTTACATCTCCCTCTAAATGAGGGTGCAAGCACAGAACGACCCTGACTTCCAGTCATCCATGTAGCGGCGGCCCAGGCACAGAATGTCCTTGGGACTTTAGTTATTCTGAATGAAGGCCAAGGTCATTATGCCCCACCTCCACCTCATCTCCCCCTGAATGAGCTGCAGAATGACTGAAGGCCGAGCTCCTTCTGTGCCACCACTGCTTCAGCTGATTATACATGTCTGGTGTTTACATCTCCCCCTGAATGAGGTGCAGAATGACTGAAGGCCGAGCTCCTTCTGTGCCACCACTGCTTCAGCTGATTATACATGCTGGTGTTTACATCTCCCCCTGAATGAGGTGCAGAATGACTGAAGGCCGAGCTCCTGTGCCACCACTGCTTCAGCTGATTATACATGCTTGGTGTTTACATCTCCCCCTGAATGAGGTGCAAAACAACCAAAAGCCAAGGTCGTTCTATGCCTGCGCTGCCGCCACACGATCGCCTCATTCTGAGAGACTGAACGCCGGGGTCGTTATGCATCGCCGCTTCTTCAGCTGACTGCACGCTGTTGATGTTTTACATTTCTCTTTACATGAGGGTGCAAGCAGAGAATGACTTCGGCCTTCAGAATGAATCATTCACATGACAGTGGTGCAGGTGCGACCTTTAGCTATTCTCAATGGTGGAAGGCCGAGGTCAGACCGTGTGTGCTGTGCTCATTCTCAATGACTGAAGGCTGGGGCCATTCCATGCCTGTGCCACCACCAGGGGCGGACTGACAACTCATGGGGCCCCCCGGGCAATAGGGGATCGTGGGGCCCCTGTATCCTTGCCCAAACTCAAAAAAGCCTATGAAAAAGGTACCAGGGGCATCTCATGGGGCCCCCTACTGACCATGGGCCCTCGGGCGGTGCCAGAGTTTCCAAATGGTCAGTCCGCCCCTGGCCACCACTACACGTGACTGAAGGCCGGGGTCAATCTATGCCTGCGCCACCACCAACCGATGACTGGAGGCCGAGGTCGTACTATGCCTGCGCCACCACCATTCGATGACTGGAGGCCAAGTCAACTATGCTTGCGCCAGCACCACCACCCGATGACTGGAGGCCAAGGTCAACTATGCTTGCGCCAGCACCACCACCCGATGACTGGAGGCCAAGGTCAACTATGCTTGCGCCAGCACCACCCGATGACTGGAGGCCAAGGTCAATTATGCTTGTGCCAGCACCACCCGATGACTGGAGGCCAGGTCATACTATGCCTGCGCCACCACCACTCTATGACTGGAGGCCAAGGTCAACTATGCCTGCGCCACCACCACCCGATGACTGGAGGCCGAGGTCGTACTATGCCTGTGCCACCACTCGATGACTGGAGGCCAAGGTCAACTATGCCTGTGCCACCACCACCACCCCGATGACTGGAGGCCGAGGTTGTACTATGCCTGCGCCACCACCATTCGATGACTGGAGGCCAAGGTCCACTCTGCTTGCGCCACCACCACTCAATTACTGGAGGCTAAGGTCAATTATGCTTGCGCCAGCACCACCCGATGACTGGAGGCCGAGGTCATACTATGCCTGCACCACCACCACCACTCGATGACTGGAGGCCGAGGTCGTACTATGCCTGCGCCACCACCACTCGATGACTGGAGGCCGAGGTCATACTATGCCTGCGCCGCCACCACACCACCCCCGATGACTGGAGGCCGAGGTCGTACTATGCCTTTGCCAACACCACTCGATGACTGGAGGCCAAGGTCAACTATGCCTTCGCCAACACCACTCGATGACTGGAGGCCAAGGTCAACTATGCTTGAGCAAGCACCACCTGATGACTGGAGGCCGAGGTCAACTATGCTTGCACCAGCACCACCTGATAACTGGAGGCCGAGGTCATACTATGCCTGCGCCACCACCACTCGATGACTGGAGGCCAAGGTCAACTATGCCTGCGCACCACCACCACCCGATGACTGGAGGCCGAGGTCGTACTATGCCTGCACCACCACCACCCAATGACTGGAGGCCGAGGTTGTACTATGCCTGTGCCACCACCACCCGATGACTGGAGGCCGAGGTCGTACTATGCCTGCACCATCCGATGACTGGAGGCCGAGGTCGTATATGCCTGCACCACCCGATGACTGGAGGTCGAGGTCGTACTATGCCTGCACCATCCGATGACTGGAGGCCGAGGTTGTACTATGCCTGCAACACCACCACCCGATGACTGGAGGCCGAGGTCGTACTATGTCTGCACCACCACCCGATGACTGGAGGCCGAGATCGTACTATGCCTGCACCACCCGATGAGTGGAGGCCGAGGTCGTACTATGCCTGCACCATCCTATGACTGGAGGCCGAGGTTGTACTATGCCTGCACCACCACCACCCGATGACTGGAGGCCGAGGTCGTACTATGTCTGCACCACCACCCGATGACTGGAGGCCGAGATCGTACTATGCCTGCACCACCCGATGAGTGGAGGCCGAGGTCGTACTATGCCTGCACCATCCGATGACTGGAGGCCGAGGTTGTACTATGCCTGCAACACCCACCACCCGATGACTGGAGGCCGAGGTCGTACTATGTCTGCACCACCACCCGATGACTGGAGGCCGAGATCGTACTATGCCTGCACCACCCAATGAGTGGAGGTCGTACTATGCCTGCACCATCCGATGACTGGAGGCCGAGGTTGTACTATGCCTGCACCACCACCACCCAATGACTGGAGGCCGAGGTCGTACTATGTCTGCACCACCACCCGATGACTGGAGGCCGAGTTCGTACTATGCCTGCACCACCACCCGATGACTGGAGGCCGAGGTTGTACTATGCCTGCACCACCACCACCCGATGACTGGAGGCCGAGGTCGTACCATGCCTGCACCACCACCACCCCGATGACTGGAGGCCAAGGTCGTACTATGCCTGCACCACCACCCGATGAGTGGAGGCCGAGGTCGTACTATGCCTGCACCATCCGATGAGTGGAGGCCGAGGTCGTACTATGCCTGCACCACCACCACCCGATGACTGGAGGCCGAGTTCGTACTATGCCTGCACCACCCGATGAGTGGAGGCCGAGGTCGTACTATGCCTGCACCACCACCACCAGTGCGCTGATCTGTGTTTTAGCACGGTTGTAAAATGCAGATCGCTGGAAGGACATCTGAGAAACGATCATTTCCAGCGCGTCCTATTCACACCCTAACTCATGCGTGTCACCGAACATCAACATGTATGCCAATGGCCGTCAGCGTGTTAAAACGTGACTAACACGGACGGGGATGAGCTTTCATTTTGCAGCCATCTTGGCGCACGTCACTGAATTGGCTCTACACAATAATCGTCTGTCCCGCTACACCCATCTACAGCAATCACGAGTCATCATTCCAGCAACACAGACAGTTCAGCTTTCAACCACAGAGGTGACAATTTCCTCCCTTAAACGACAATGGATAATTTTGTGAACGCAGATGACGTCATAACGGGGGGGGGGGGTAGAGGGAGCGTACAGGCCAGCGATGGGGGGGGGGTACAGTCCGCCTCCTCCGGCAGCTTCTCAGAGATGTATGGGAAGAATGGTGCCGGAGGGGATGAGATTTTAGGATCGGACGCCATTGATCGGCCAGTGTATGATGGGCAGGGGAGGCCATGTTAGAAATGACG